AAAAAGAAAAAGAAGTCTGAACGTCCTTAAAGAAGCGGTAAAGCTCACTCATTTTATTAAATTTCACCCCTTCAATAGACATATTTTAATATTCTGTATAATACAATGGGAATTACACATAAAGTACGCCTACTGCACACATGCCAAGGTAGTTTTTTCAAGAAACATAGAGTTTACCTCAAAGAACAGCTAATAGACAAACCATAGTTAGTCAGACTGAGCTATCTGGCAGACATTTTCTCAAATATGAACCACATGAACCTGTCATTTAAAGGAGAACAACTGAAAATATCTGTTGAAAAGATAAATTCAAGTTTTTAAGTGAACATTAGAATTTAGAAAAATTGCATTTGCAACAGCTTCTCAACAGCCAAAATTTTCTCTTATGAGATCAGTGGTGATATTAACAAAAGTGGTTTTTAAAAACTATATAATAAATTGTGTCAACATTTGGAAGATCTGTACGATGCAGCGAACCTGTATTTTCCAAGTCATCAATGTATGACGTCACAAAATCCATTCCAACTGCATTTAATAGATAGAGCATAAAAAACTCATTGATGTGGTTTCAGATTTCACATTACAGAGAACCTTTAGGGAGCTCCTACTTGTCAAGTTCTAAAATAATATCAAAGAAGGATACCCACAATAATCTGAATGGGTCATTAAAACACTCAACTTTTCCAACTACATCTCTTTGAGAGGTAGGATTTTCTTTATAAGCTTTTACCAAAACAACGTATTGCAACAGATCAAATACTTAAACAGATATAAGAATCCAACTCTCTTCTACTTAGACAGGCATCATGCATTTTTAAAAATGTAATGTAGCTTTTGCCACTTTGTTTTGGAATTGTTGTTTTTAATAAAAGTACATTATTTATGTTTACCTGTACTTTGTCCTTTATTACTATTTTAAAATAATTTAATGTAGATTTAAAAACTTTTCCCTCAGTTTTAATTTGTAATTGAGTAAATATTGATAGGTACAATCCCAATAAACAAGAGCTCATTAGTATCTCAATAATTTTTAAGAGTGTGAAGGGGTCTTCAGATCAAAAGAGTTTGAGAATTGCAGACTTGAGAGAATGAGTGATCTTTCAGTGTATTCTAAACTTGTTTTTTGGGGTCCCTTCTAGCAGCGTGTCTTTTGTGCTTATTATAATACAGAGAACACTTACATAAAGATTGCAGTCTGGCATAATATTACATTATTTTTATAATATTTGGAAAGAAAATAGTTTAAAAAAAACAAGCATTGCCAATTGCAGCCTATTTTTTACAGAACTTTCTCTATAAGTCATTTCTATTAACCGTGCCTTGCTATAGATGTTTATAACAAAACATTAAAGACTGGGCAGAAAGAGAAAACAAATTACTCTGTAGAGAACCCAGCAACTCTGCTAAAATACTGTCAGTTATTTATCTACTGTCAGCAGAGGTTGCACACTATAATCCTTGACAAGCTCAGATTCAGAAAGAATGAGGAGAGGGGGCAAGCATTGCATTTAAGGGCCTGTTCTCATGCACAGACATTTTAACACAGATTTAAAGCCAGAATGTATCTTCTAGAAAATGTCACTTTTGATTTTGATACATATTCTAGCAAGTGGGCCTACATTTGGTTGACTTAATACGAGATATGTTAGAGGCTAACACTATATTTTAGACCATTCATGATCCCAGCGTGGAACTAACACAATGAGGTCAGTATCACTTCATTTTTAGAGTTGGCTACCGCAACTGCATGATTTCATGGGCATGTTTTTTATGATGATGAGGAGGGAGGGTTTTATTTTTGTTTTCTTAGGCAAGGGAATGACAGAGTCTAAACAGCCTATTACCCACGCCAGTGTTCATTTCTCGTTTATGTTTACAATGGAAACAACCGTCAATGCATTCTCCTGTCTCGAAACACCTTCTCTGCAGAAAGATACATGGCCAAGGTGAAAATGCAACAGACTGAGGAGCTTCTTTCAGGCTAAAGAAAACCTCCCCTTTCAAGCAGGGAGTTAAAGTAGCTCATAATACTGACAAGACCATGGGAAGCACAAGGAAGGGGGAGGCATAAACCAAGACAATTGAATAAGAAACATGACCCTGGTCATTTCTAGTAGAAACCATAGTTCCCTTCAGAATACAATTCATAGTGACTGGTCAATTGTATGATTTCCACCCATATGATCAGGGGTCTAAATAAATGTGTGCTTGTAGCTGGGAATGTTTGATGAATGCTGAACCAGAATCTTAATTTTCTAATTCATATTCACCAATTAAAAATAAACTGTATTTTTATGAGCAAATTTACATAAATCAGATGATAAAGCATCTACCACTAAAGGGTAGGAGTTCAGCTCACAACATTTGCATAAATTCTCCTAAAGAAAATATAGGCGTTTTAGATTTTCAATGAAGAGTCTTGCTGCGTTGGAACTCTAATGGGCTTAGAACAGTAAATTTTGAAGAAACTGATTGCTACCCCTGTAGCTAGTAAATGTCTGCCTAGACCCAGTGGCATTTGAAAAAAGTGTTTTATCATAAAATTATCCCAGCAGAGTCCATTCTGCAAGATAACATCATCATCATCATCATCAGTACTCCATGCAGGACCCAACAGCTCTGGCACAATATTGCCAGTCATTTATCTGTTGTCAGCACAGGTTACACACTGTAATCCTTGACTGCCTCGGAATTAGAATGTCTTTGATGTCCCCACAAGAGTTTTTTGCCCGAAGGCTTTACCAATGCTCGGCGGCTCAGTGTTTATTCCTCGTAATCTTCCTCTCATCTCCAGGCTAGCAGTGACAGATGGTTATGGGCACACAATAGTATTAAGAGTTTGATATTTTTTTTATGCTGTGCTCTCTGTACAACAAATAGCTATCAGACGCGGGCCAGAGAGCTGACATGGCTCGCTTAGGTAATGGCAAACAAACAGCTCGGGTTGATGCTTTCTGTCATTTCCCCTCCTAACCCTGCTTGTTTTCATTGTATACTCTCAAAGGTAAACTATATTAACCTTATAGACTGTTATTAAAAAGATATATCTATATGAGCATAAAGTGCTTTTCTTTTCTCTTTTTCTAACTCTTTTGATTATGAAAGTAATACTGCTGACATATTGAACAAATATCGAATGTCAACATAAATTTTTAGTGTGTGATAATATCCCCCTTCATATAGCTGTGTGTCAGGCGGGAACCCACGGATGATGCATAGCAGTAAATAACCCAAACAAAATTAGTTCTCTTGTCAGCTTCTACCTTGTATGTCCCCAGGCATCAGTAAAATTGACTGCACGCTAGATTTTCAAAATTAGCCCTAATGTTAGCTATGTGTCTGGCAACCTCCAAGTTTCCAATGTTCTACTATATTACCCGTAAGGATGAATGTGTTACTTTTATATTTTGGCATTTACTCTTGCTGATGCGGCTTTTTTCCCTCTTCTCCAAATTAAAAATAATTTAGCTTTAACAATAAGAATGTGCACAAACATAATGCTGCATCTCTTTAAGCAACTAACTTTAGGCAATTAAATTAAATTAAAGCAAAAATATACAAAGGAAGGGAGGGAATTATTCAATTTAATATTGTTAATTTTATTAACACAGCTCTGTCTCATTCTGTGCAAAGTACTGAATAACATGGCTCTCACTCTTTCCTCCATATTGCTGTTTTGTAACTGCAGCCTACAAATTATTTAATTGAACATTTTTGTGATTTCTCAGAACCAAACTTCTTAGAACTGATTTTCTTGCAATAAACATTACTTCAGAGACAACCATAGGTTAGTGGAATAAAAGAAAAGACTTTCAGAAGGGAGTAAATTACCACATCTATTTTACCTTGAAACAGGTTGATCTCATCCAGACCCATAGCATTTTAAAATCACATAAAGGAATACTAAAATCTGTCACATTCTAAGTAAAATACAATTTAAAAATACATGTTACTTCCTTAGAAAGGCTATGCTGGAAGTGTGAAGTTAAACAAACAAATCCAAAAACACATTCCACATCAACTTTCAATCCCTAAATTTTATGTTCATACATTTAGAATCAAAGATGAAAATCCCTTTAGGTACCAGATGCTGCAGATCAACTGGGAAAGCTTCTGGAGTTTTAATGTGCTGGAAGTCAAATCCTCGGCAAAGGCGCTTTGCCCGGCCGGTGTGGTGTGCTTATTACTTCACCTGCAAACAGTTGCTCTCAGAAAATCGGACCTAATGATCAGCCCGGCATCTCTGCAATAAAGAGATCATAATCTGTGGGGGAAGTGAACTCTAATCAGGCCACATGCAGATTAAACTAACTGGGAGGAATAAAAACTAGATTAAAATGTTCATGCCTAATACCAAAAGATTATCAGGACATTTTACCTCTTTAAATCCTAATTTATAGGAACCAGGGTTAAGTTTAAGAGTTTATATTTGGTGAGATTACATGCTGCAGTTGATTTTCCTCTGTTTAGAAAAGATTCAGCTAGAAAGTAATTTGCTTAGCACAATACAGAGGTATTTGAGTGAAGGGAAAGAGTTTCAAATGAATTGGTATACATCATGACAAGTAAAATAAAGTCATCCAGTTGAAACTGGTCAACATATTATAGTAAATAATGAAAATTGTTCTTGTCTTAATGGCAATATTGCTTTATAAATGTATACATATGAAATAGTTTTGTGATAACAATGCATGTATGTGTGTGTATTCCTACATTTTGAAACTTCTTGAACAAGTGATTTTCTAGAAGTGCCTAGTTACTACTGTTAGTTGAGCAAATCAATGCAAATAATTATCTGTAATTTAAGTTTAATCTAAGGCACATTACCATTTATATAAAGATATTGAGTAGACTACCTTGGCACCACATTAGTAGTATCAACAAATTAAAATGATATTTTTCTAAAGCTATAGGGACAGCAAATTAATAAGTCAATCACCAGAATGTATTTTCTATTACCACTTCTACAACTCTTAGTAAATTTGCATGTCTTGACTTACCACCTGTGAGGCCAGACAATGTGCAGCGGTCTTTGCTGATCACCAACTCCACCCAAAATGTCACAGGGATCAAGAGTCAGATTTTGTTTATTTTCCCCATGATGAGAGCTTGAATTATCTGATGAGTTGGACTTTTTCAAGTCTGACTCCTGCATTAATGAGCTACCCTGATTTTCCTGTTGCACAGTATCAAGGCCAGGGTGTGCATCACACTCTGAATTAAAATTCTTCAATAAATTCTCAGAATCTCTCTGCTCCGGTTGAAAAGGAAGGGCCATGGACACAGCAGCACCGCCATTTCCTTTAAGGCTGAGCATCTTCTTTAAATGGGTTGTTTTGTGCTTGGGAATGAATCTGTTACAAAAAAAGAATGCAATATACTTTTAGTGAAAAGAAAATATGTAAAATTTGTCCTTTACCTTCCTGTAAGGATATAATGATTATATATAAAACTGAGAAAAAATAAAGATGCTACAACAAAAATGCTAGAAAAACTGCAAAAAGTGGCAGCCACCAACAAAAGTGCAAAAGTTTGAAATTGGACCAGGCTGTTTTTGAATGGTTTCCAAAGAGTTTCTGTGGCTTCAAAACCTGTACTGCATATACCATAAAACATAAGATTAGAGAGATGTGTTATCACTCTCCTGTCACTCATCTTTCTGGATTTCCATTTTGTGTTTTCCAATCACCACACAGTCCAGTGCTTATTTTCAAGCCGTATTTGTTCATTAACCTACAAAAGTGTTTGAAAACTTCCTCGATAAAAACGTGCCATTTCTGCTTATGACTGTTCTATATTCCTGGGCAGCTGATGTTACTTTTTATTAAACTGACCTCGCTAAAGTTTCCTGAAGTATATTTTAATATCTTTTTATTATCATTTCACCCCATTTTCCTATAATGCTTTATTATACACAGTTCAATATCTGTTATGTATTAGTAGAGAATCTAAATATAATAAAATCTTTAAAAAATTATAATACAGCTTAAAACCTGTGAGTTATACATATAAATAGAGGATCTATACTCAAGGAGTTTACCATCTCCTGGGGAGCAAACCATCAGTGCTTAGAAGAGAGTGGGAGACAGATATGTGAACAGTCAACTAACCTACACTGGAACATACTATCTATAAAATGGAGACTCTCATTTTTTTTTAACTGAGGGGAACAAGAGATTAATTCTGACTTGAGGATTCGAAAAGGCTGAAAGAGGGTTTTAGTTGAAGGATTTTACCAGGCAGAGTGGGGGAAGTTCTGGAGTAAGAGCACAGTGTGATCAAAGGAAAAGGATGTAAAGGAACACCCAGGTAATAACATGAAACTCAAAGAGGCTGAGGTGCAGGGCTGAGATGTGAGGTCTGGAGGGGCAGACTGGGTCAGACAATCATGTGCTTTCTTAGAGTTCCTGAGGCCCATCCAGAGCCTTGGCCCCTTCCCTGAACTGTTGAGTAAGTGAAGAAATAGATAATACATGCATTTAGGAGGTAGGTAGAAAAGAGAAACCAGGGAAGGAGAACAAAAGGAACATCTGGAAGAGTAGAAAGAGAATCCAAGAGAGTAATATCACACTGCTGAAAGGAATCAAGAGCCCTCAAAGAATGCATAAAAAGGCAATCAAGAACTCTAAAAGAATGAGTAAAAGGGGGATAAAACACTGCAGAGGTGCTACAACAGCAGAAACAACAGGGAACTTTTGACCTCGTCAGGTTGCAGGCACGGCTATTCCAATGGGCAGTCCCTGCAGAGTCGTGTGGGCAGAAATCAGAGTTAGGTTTGTGCATGAACGAGAAAGAAAGGCAGAGAAAGGGGGCAGAGAGGAGAAGGGTGGAGAAGGCAAGGCAGGGTTTTTTTTTTTTAAGGGGCACATGGACACGGTTATTCACTAGGGGATACTTGCTAAGGAAGGAAGCAGGATCCTGAAGAACAGAAAAGTCTAATAAGATGGAAATAGAAAAACAATATAACGTGATAACAGTGTGGGGGGAAAGGAGAGCCTTGTGCAGAGCGTAAACCTAGTTTTCTCGCAATGCTGAGAGAAAAAGAAGGGGAAAATGAAGCTGAAAAAACCCCCACCAGTTTTAGGTGGCAGGAGTGGAATCTAAGAAGTTGTGTCACTAAAGCATTAGGCTAGGTCATCTACTCCAGGTGAGATGAGTAGAGGTGAAAATAGTTTTTAAGAAGTGAGCTGAGGGATCAGAACCTCCGCTGTAAGACAGGGAGGGCGTTAATGAGGGCTGAAAGCAAGGGTTGACGAGCAACTTATAGTATGATATGTACATTCCAGAACCAGAAAGCATGCTGTAGGGGCATCTGTGTTTGTTTCATTAAGCCCTTTGAAAGTCTATTCTGATTTCAAACACCTTGGGAAAAATCAAATATATAGGAATAAAATATATAAGAACTCTCTAAGTAATAAGTACTTATGTATGTAGATAAAACTCAAAGAATAGTACTAACCTTTGAACATCATCATCATCATCATCATCATCATCATCATCATCATCATCATAAAACAATTAATTTAGTCCATGATTTGAAATGGAAAGAAACCTGGGCATTTACAGATTGTAGTTTCAAACCTTATAGGACTAAAATTATTAAGGGAACAAACCAACTTCCTAAAAACAAATTCAAAATACTGAGCAGATTCTAAGGAGCTAAAACACAAGAACAAAATTGCCACTGATCACCACAAAATCTTTAAAAAAATGACTATTACAATATACAACTTCTCCTAAATAAATGAAACAAATGGTAAGAGAAGGAACATCTGTACATATCTGGAAAACAACAATAAGGCACAAAGTAATCTATCTGTTTATGTCAGATAAAGAAGGCAAGTTTAAAAAGGATTTTTAACAGAATTACAAACTTAGTGCACAAAGGATTCACAATTTAAAAAAATTGATGGGCATTGAAGCTACATATCTTCTTTTGAAAAACAGTATCATGACCCATCTTACTCATAAAATTCACTTATATTGGCCAGCATGTGAGCAAAATTGCAAATTAAAAGAGACGGGAGATTGGCTAAAGGGTTGTGAACAATGGGAATTGGTAACTGACAAGGAATTTAGCTGTGGGCAAGGTGGTGGGCCTGCTTTTATTCAACACGTTCCCTGTTCCCTAAATGTTCTCAAGGATGAATAGAATCTCATGTTAGCACAGGTTGCAGATGACTGACTTGATAGGTGGCAGTGAATAAGGACATCAGAAGATGCAGACTATAAATGGGGCAGTGACCAAAACAGCTTAGAAATCTTATGAAATTGAAAAAATGAAATAAACCTTGAATGCAAGTAGGACACATGGAAACACTATTTAGACTGTACTGAATTTGACAAGATGAGTAAGAGTTGATTTAACCCAGCAAACTGATGTCATGGAGTTCCGGATCCTGTTGTACAAGGAAGGAAGACACCAGGTCTGTCAGGATAGAATATTGTGCCCATGCTGATTTCATTTGGGACACCTGAGGACTGTATATGCTTGAAAATTACAGAGTTCTTAAAAGACCAATAATAATAAGGCAATGGAAGAATTGATTTATGAGGACAGATTAAAGGAGCTAAATATGAATAGCCTGATTTAGTGACAACTAAAGGGGTACATAATAGGAGTCTCCAAGGAAAAAGAATAATTACTTAGCTGGGTACAAGGGGGGTTATAACTAGGAATAATGAGATGAAATTAAGAATGGGCAAATTTAAGCTGAATTTCAAGAAAAACTCCCTGACGGTGTAATTTATTAGCTTACAGAATAAATTCTCTATGGAAATGCTACATCTAGGAAACTTAATAATAGAACTGGACAAAATACCAATAAATAATATAGATAACCATCTAGTACTTGAAAGAAGGTGGCTACAAGTTATGTGGTCCTTGTTTATAATACTTTTTCATCTTTTTTCTTTGTAGTCTATTTATCACAGTGATTGCCACCAAAAGAAGTATTTAGACAATTAGCTAAATCTAACAGGATTCTTCTTTTAGTTACAGAAAGTTAAAAACAGTTTAGTTTCCATGAATTCTGCAGCAAGAATGAAGGCAAAAGCTAAAATAATTTTTTTTAACTTTATTTGGTCTTGAAGCAGGTTGGACAAATGTATTAATATTTGTAAAAACAAAACAAACCTCATCCACTATCCCACGTAAGAGTCTATTCTGATTCTCTGTGCCATGAAACTAATATTTTCATAGACATGTTTAATATAAACAATCTATTGCCATACTAGAAATAAAAAAAACTTTACTTCAGCTTTTCTAAATGTAGCTCTATGGTCAATTACTTCACATCAATACCAAGATCAAATAGGCATAATACTAACAAGCAGTTTACTTAATAATAGTCACCACACTAATTAACCCATCCAGAGCATTCTTAATCAGACACTATTTATAATGTACAGTTAAGAGAAGCCTGGCAATAAACTGTTCTATGCTAAAAAAGAAAATAACACCTTACTGATGGGGTAGAAACTGGTTTTTCTATAGAACTGGACAGAATGTTTGCGCTGTCCTGGCATTAACTCAATAAAGTGACTATGCAAATAGGCACATGTCTGAACACTTCCTTTCTCTCCCCTGCTCCAACTCTGGTGGGGGTGTTAATGAGAAGAGACAAGGTCCTGAGAAAGAAGTGAAAGAGAGAAAAGAAAGAGTCAGAAGAAAAACAGTGAGCTGCCTTTTAGAGCATATGTTAGGTATGCCATTTAATAATTCACTCGTTTTTCTTAAAGAAATGCTACTGACCGTCTTACTCATAGAACATCCCTCTCTAAATTTCTCAGAAGCTCCATCAGAACCTGTCACTAGTTTTTGAAATATTCTGATTACTGAAAAATAAAAAAGAATTATTCTGATTACTGGAATAATTTGCAATCTGTTATTACCATAGGACTCTGGTCACCAACTTTTTTCTAGCCAATAGCTATTTTCTTTAGTATTCTTTTTAAAAAAAATTTTTTTTTATTTTAAAGCTGTGGGTTACAATTCAGGGTTAGGTACATAAGTGGTCATCGTGCAGGTAAAGTTTGGGAATTCTTATTGATGTTATGAGTCCTTCCTTCCATCCCCTGGCAGTGTCCCACTACCGCCGATACCTTTCTTATAGTCTTATGATAAATGTTCAGGGTCTGCTTATGAGTGAGTACATGTGGTGCTCAGATCTTTGTTTCTATAATTAATCACTGAGTATTATATACTTTAAATCCATTCATGGATTGCTGTGAAGTCCATAATTTTATTTTTCTTTACAGTTGTGTGATATTCCATTATGTATGTGAATCACGTTTTCTTTATCTAGTCTACTTTTCGATGGGTAACATGGTTGGTTCCATGTTTTTGCTATTG